CATGTTATGAGTTGGGGGGGGGGGGGGGTGACGGGTAAATTTGCCCTGAAAAAATAATTTTTGCCCTGCAAATCACGAAAAAGAAAATGCTCACTAGCTCTTTATAAGTAGCCCGGAATGGAACATCAACCAGTATTTACAAATGATAAATGAACAAAACAACAAAAAACGTAAAAACTTAACTAGAAACGTCTTACAATACCAAAAAACAAGAAATCTATAACGAATAGAACAGGGTTCAAAAATTAATTTCGATAGTTTTGTTTTGTCGAAAGAGAGCATTCTCTCAACAGTCATCACTTGATTCTTAGGCGTCGCAGTTTTGCCTTTGACCATTTCTGCACAATGCTGTCTAGATTGATACCATCTGTGAAATGTTATAAATCATCATCAGCAATTAGTTTCATATAGTTATTTATATATCTTGAATACTTATCGGCTATTGAGGCAGATTCCGTAAGAGAAAATTTGCCCTGTAGAACTAGATTTTGCCCTGCAAAAAGAGGCATTTTTAAGAGTTGGGGGGGGGGAGGTTGAACCACCCCCTTAAGTGACGCCCCTGCTCCTCCTCTTTCTCCCCTTCCTCATCCTCCATCCTTCAAGGCAGCGAGGCGGGGTATAAAGAGGGGAGGGCGGGCGTCGAGGGAAGCACTCACGCCTCGGCAGCCACGGCAGGAACACCTCCTTCTTCTACGTCCGTTTCCTCGACTTTTTTTCCCCCGGCGTCTTCGTCATGAACAAGATTCTTGTCTTCGGTAAGGCGATGGAGGCGAGGTCGAGGGATGTTTTTTTTTAATTTTTAATTTTTGTATGTCTCTTTTTTTATTATTATTATTATTTTTTTATTTGGTCCTTTTTTGGGGGTGGGTGGGGGGAAAACTTGTATTTTGTTTTTATTTATTTTTATTTTGTTTCAAGTTTGGATTCAAGATAGAGGGACTTTTATCTTTAATTTTATATATATATATTTTTTTAAATTTTCTTTTATCTTTTCTTTGGGGGAGGGGGGTTATGTCTATTTATTTATTTTTGGTGACAGTTTATCAGCGTTTCGTTATTGCGTTTTGTTAACGTTTTCATAGTTTTTTATATTCGTATTATCACTATTAATGTCATTGTATGTGGTTATTGTCCTTTTTTCTTTAGTGTTTGATCTTTTGATATTTTATCTATCATGATCTGTAACTCATACCTCTGCTAATTTCTTATCAAGTCGTCAAAAAAACGAAAAAAAAAAATAGAATCCTCCCCCCCCCAAAAAAAAAAAACGGAAATAAACATACATAAAAATATTGAAAATCAAAGACAAAAAAAGAAGAAAATCAAACAACAGAATCCCGTCCCCCCCCCCCAAGAAAAAAAGAGTGAAAAAAAGCCTGCCTTTTAGAATCCAATGACGCAACACCTTCCTCCTCCTCCCCCTCCGTCTCCTCATCCTCCTTCTCCCCCCTTCCCCTCCTCCTCCCCTCCTTCCTCTTCCTACTCCTTTTCCTCCTTTTCCTCCCCCTCCTCCTCCTTCTTTTCCTCCCCCCTTCCTCCTCCCTCTCCCCTTCCTCCCCCTCTCTATTCTCCTCCTCCTCCACCCTCCTCCCCTCCTCCTCCTCCTCCCCCTCCTCCTCCTCCTCCCCCTCCCCCTCCCCTTCCTCCTCCCCCCCTCCCCCTCCCCCCTCTTCCCCCTTAACCAAACCCAAACAAAGGAACTTCGTGCACAAACTTCCCACATTCCGATGATAATATGACGCGCTACTTTCCCCCCCCCTTTCCCTTTTGACAGCGCTGGTGGGCGTGGTCTCGATGGGCGTGGCCTCCGCCCTGCCCCGCCTCGTGAAGCGAGACTCCACCCCCTTCGCCTACGAGCTCCCGTCCAACGCCTCGCGAATCGTCGGGAACATCAACACGGGCTTCGAGTGAGGACCTCCCGCCGGAGTGTTTTTTTTTTTGGTGGTGGAAATAATGAAGAATACGAAGAATGTGGAGTGAGGAAAGAGGAAATAGAAAATAAGATGTATATGTGTATATATACATACATATATATAGATGTGTGTGTGTGTGTGTGTGTGTGTGTGTGTGTGTGTGTGTGTGTGTGTGTGTGGGTGTGGGTGTGGGTGTGGGTGTATAAATATATACAGGCATATATATATATATATATATATATATATATATATATATATATATATATATAGAGAGAGAGAGAGAGAGAGAGAGAGAGAGAGAGAGAGAGAGACAGAGAGAGAGAGAAAGAAAGAAAGAGAGAGAGAAAGGAAAAAAAGATAGGGAGAGCCAACTCAAAACTCACCATCTTATCCTAACCAATACTCTCCCTCCCACTCCCCTCTCCCTCTCCTTACTCCTCCAAACTGCCCTCTCCCTCGATGCCTCTCCTATTTACCTATTTACCACTCTTCCTTAATATTTTTCCTTCCCCCTCCTACGCAGCTGCTCCAACCTGGGCTACGGCTACTACGCTGACCAGGCCAACGGCTGCGCCATCTTCCACATCTGCCACCCTTACCAGGACCCCGAAGGAAACTTCTTCACGAGGATGTTCTCCTTCATCTGCGGTGAAGGAACCATCTTCGACCAGGTAAAGGACCCTCCAGATTTTTTGTTAATAATGGGATTTGATTTTTAGTTCATGGATTTTACAGTTATATGTGTTCTGTGCATTTTGGGGTCTTAGAGTATGGGATCTTAGGATATCATTCGTCTTATGCACATAAATAGACACACACACACACACACACACACACACACACACACACACACACACACACACACACACACACACACACACACACACACACACACACACATACACATACACACACACACAAACATACACACATACAACAACACAACACAACACGACGCAACACAGCGCAACACAATATTATACAACACAATAAAACATAACACAACAAGACACAACACAGCACAGATCACAACACAACACGCACATAAAATTACACTCCGCCCACTCTCCTTCTTACGTCACTCTGGGCCATCCTCTTCATTCACTCTTCTTCTCTCTCTAACCACACACACACGCACACACACACATACATACGTACACACACACACACACGCACACAGACACCACGCCCTTTCTCAGTTGCAATCATCTCCTTCCATTTAAGGAATCGCATCTTCCAGTATGCGTTTCTTTTCTTTCCTTTTTTTTCTTCCTCTACTTCTATTTCATCATCATCATTTTTCTCTCCCTTCTTCTCCTGCTGCTGCATCTCCTTCTTCTTCTTCTTCTCCTCCACCTTCTACTTTTTATCCTCCTCCTCCTCTTCCTTCTCCTTATTCTCCTCCTCCTCCTTCTTTTTATCCTCTTCCTCCTTCTTTTTATTCTCCTCCTCCTCTTCCTCTTTCTTCTTCCTCGATGCTTAGTCGTGTTCCCCTTCCCGTCTCACGCCCATTCATTCAGCAGTCACCCCTCCCGCCGCCCACACACTTTCTCTTTCTCTTCTGCTGTCGTTAGCCTCACACGCCCTCGCATTTTTAGGGTCTTTTAGTATTTATCGTCTGTTTCGTCTGTGTGTCTCTCTCTCTCTTCTATGGCTTTATTTTCTTGTGTCTTTTTTTGTTTTCTTTTTGGGTACTTTGTCATTTCGCTTTGTTTTGTCCTTTCTTTCTGTTTTTTTTCTGTTTTTTTAATTTTTTATCTCTCTCTCTCTTATACGCTCATGTCTTCTGTTAGGTTATCTCTCTCATTTATTCATACTTTTCCTCCCCTTTTCTATCTCCCTTTCACACTAACCAATATGCTCTTTTTCTTATTCATTCCTTCACTCACCTTCTCCCTTCTTCCCTCTTTCTCTCACCCTTAACCCTCTCTTTACTCTCTTTGCCTCTCCCTCCATCTTTCAAAACATATCATCTTCTCTTTTCTTTTTGTTTCACTTTCTCCCTTATCCTCTCCCCCTTTCTTCCCTCCAGTCCACCTTCTTTCAACTATCTTTATCTTTCTCTCCCACACTCATCATTCTTCTCCTTCTCTCTCTTTCTAATCTCATCCCCATCACTCACTCATCTAACTCTCTCTCTCTCTCTCTTTCTCTCTCTCTCTCTTTCTCTCTCTACAATACACTCCCTGCAATACTCATCCATCTAACTCTCCCTCTCTCTTTCTCTCACTCTACAACAATCACCCATTTTCTCTCCCTCCCTCTCTCTCTCCTCTCCCCAACACAACACTCACCCACCTCCCCTCTCTTCCTCCTTCCCTCCCTCTTTCTCTCTCCTCTCTCTCCTTCCCTCTCTTTGTCTCTCCTCTCTCTCCTTCCCTCCCTCTTTCTCTCTCCTCTCCCTCCTTCCCTCCCTCTTTCTCTCTCCTCTCCCTCCTTCCCTCCCTCTTTCTCTCTCCTCTCCCACCTTCCCTCCCTCTTTCTCTCTCCTCTCCCTCCCCCTACAACACTCACTCCGCCCCTCTTTCTCTTCCCCTACAGTCCACCCTCACCTGCAACTTCCCCGAGTACGCCCTGCCTTGCGAAGCCGCCGCTACCTACTACAGCATCAACGACTACTTCGGCAGAGAGGATGTTCAGTTCCGCGACGGTTCTGTTAACGGTATATTCTAAAGGAGATTAAGCTACCCTCTCCTTTACTCTATTTCTCCACGTGAGGAAATATGTATAAGCCAGAGGTGTGTGTGTGTGAACGATACCTGGTAGATTTTTCTTTCTCTTTTTTCTTGTTTTCACTTAAAAAAAAAAATGTTCAGGAAGTGTAGGAAGAGGAAGAGAAGGAGGAGAAGAAGAAGAAGGAGGAGGAGTGTGTATTTTTTTCTCGTTTTTCTTCCTTTTTCACTTGAAAAAAAAAAAAAAATGTTTTCATCTTTTCCACGAAAAAAGGTGAAAACAATGGTTTCAGATCGTCATGCTTGGGAATGGTTTAAATGGTTATTATTATCATTTCTTTTCCTTTTCTTCCTTCCACTACCTTTACACAGCGCCGCTTCTCGAATTGTAAATATTATGATTATGTGTAATAAAAGCGAAATACATCAAGTATTATTTTACTTTACCCTGAGAGGAAGATGAAATGAGTGTGTAATTCTTTTAAAACAAAGAGGTCGGTGCGGAGAGAGGACGAAGAGGAAGAGACGTAAATGGAAGAAGAGTCAATATGTTTATATATATATATATATATATATATATATATATATATATATATATATATATATATATATATATATATATATATATATATGCATGTACTTCTTCTTCCATACATACTTCTCCCTAAGATTCAAGATGGCGAAGATTACCACCCACATCTAATCAGCTGATCCATAACCCTCACGCAACCCACTCGTGACACTTATTCGCAAGTAGTCAGTAATAATCTACGTAAATTTGCTGACATATCAATAAACGCCATTGGGGATATGATGTTAATTGAGGTAATGATGATGTGAACAGTAACAGTAACAATGGTAATGATGATAATAACGATAATAATAATAATAATAATAATAATAATAATGATGATGATGATGATGATAATAATAATGAAGATGATAGTAATAACAATAATGATTATGATAATGATAATAATAATGATGATAGTAATAATAATAATAATGATGATAATGATGATGAGATGATGATAATATAATAATGATGGTGATAATATGATAATGATGATGATATTAATAATAATAATAATGATAATGATAAAAATAACAATAACAATAGTGATAATGATGATAATGACAACGATGATGATGATAAAAATAATAATAATGACCATATAAACATAATTATGATAATAACAATGATAACAGTGAAAAAATAACGATATGCAAATGTAATCTACCATACACTGAACAACCCAAATATCCACTCTGTATCTTTAAATTTTGAAATCTTGAAACCACGATTATTACCATTTTGAGAATAATACGATCTACGGTTTTCCTTTTTTTCACTTCTAGCTTATACAAAGTAACGAAGAGAAATAAAGGGAAAAAAATGGAAATGGAAACGATATTGGAAAATTGTTTTTTTTTGGGGAGTTATGATGGGTGTCAAAAAGTTTAAAATTGATACTCGTAAATTGGACATATTTTTCACTCGGAAAGTATTGAGGAAATTATCGGTTCTTAGATCAATGTTTTTTTTTTATCAATTAATTTCTTAACCGACAAAGAGAAAGAAAGAAAGGAAGAAGAAAAAAAATACAATAAGAAAGAGAGGGAGATACTCATACGTAAATATGTACATACATACATACATATATACACGCATACGTACATACATATATACATCCATTCATCCATCCATTCATTCATCTATCCATACATACATACATGGATATATACGTACATACATGCATACGCACACGCATATATACAGCTCAAAAGGTTACGCATATACATATACAAATTTGCATGTGCTAATGAACATACCCCCTCTTTTGAAACAATGCATACTAAACTAAAATCAACCAATCAACCAACCGCATTAGTCAACCAAAAGCAAGCAAGAAACGAAACAATAAACAAGAAACAAACAAGACACAAACAACAAGCAAAATAAAACACAAACAACAAGCAAAATAAAACACAAACAAGAATCAAACAAAATAAAACTCAAACAAGAATCAAACAAAACACAAACAACCAAACCAAACAAAAAAACAAAAACAAACCAAACCAAACACAAACAACAAACAAAAACCAAACCAAACAAAACACAAACAAACAAACAAAACACAAACACCAATCAAAACCAAACACAAACAACAAACAAACCAAACCAAACACAAACAAACAAACAAACAAAAGACAGACACCAGGGCGATATGACAATCGTGACGCCCCCAGAGAGAGAGAAGAAAAATTGCACGGATATTAATGGTTAAAATCGAAAGTAAGGTATTTGGAGGCGAGGCGGCGAGCGGAAGTTAAAAGACGATTTGTAATGTAATTATAATGTTTTCGTTCGTTTCGTTTTGTTTCATTCTTTAATTTGTTTCGTTTATTTTTTGTTTAATTGGTTTCGTTTTGTTTCATTAAAAAAAAAAACTGGTTTCGCTTTGTTTCGCTTGTTTCACTTCATTTATTTCGCTTGTTTCGTTTTGTTTAATTTGTGTTATGTTGTTCAATTTGTTTTGTTTTGTTTCATTAGTTTCGTTTTGTTTCATTTGCTTCGTTCATTTTGTTTGTTCTTCTTGGTTCTTTGTTTGTTATTTTTGGTTATTGTTTTGTTGTTGTCATTGCGTGTTGTCATTATCAGATATCTAATCGTTGTTGTGGTTGTCAGAAATACTATCATCATTAGTATTGTTATTACCATTATCGTTATTATTATTATTATCATTATTATTATCATTATTATTATTATCATTATTATTATTATCATTATTATTATCATCATTATTATCATTGGTGTTATTATCATTATTGCCAATATTACTATCATTATTATTACTATTATCATTATTATTATTGATATTAATATGACATTATTGTTATCATGACTAATATCATCATCATCAATATGATCATTATCATTATCGTATCATCAATGCCATCATTATATTCATTTAAGATATGGTGATGAATTGAAGAAGGTCCTCGTATAAAGATTATTCTAATTGTAAATTAACGAATAAAGTTATAGATGAACAGAAACACTCAAAGAACAACTATACAAACAAACAAACAAAAAATAAAAATGAAAAGTAAGGAAAAATATCGAAGAGGAGGATTAACATTATAAATTCTAACACAATATGAAAATAAATCATTCAGTTAATTACGTTCAAAAATTCATTAAAGAATAATATTTTTTTTTACTAAATCAGATTAATACGAAAACAGACTAACATCTTGCATTAATCCAGTAAAACAATTCCACTGATACATTACACCAAATTAATACATCCTAAATCATCCTAAAACAAAAATAACCAATTTTCCCAAAGTTTCCAAACACCAAAAGCGAAAAAAATAGAAGGAAAAGAAAACAAAGCAGTAACGATTGCCTTAAAGTATAGACGATCTAAAAAAAAAGAGAGAAAAAAAATAAGTATAGAGGATTAAATCACATATCGACTTCCCGCAAAACATAGACAATCGCAAGAAAGAGAAAGAAAAATAAGTATAGAGGATTAAATCAAGAATCAAATACCCATAGAATATAGACGAGCAAAAAAAAAAAAAGGAAAGAAAAGAGTTAGAGAGATAGAGAGAGAGAGAGAGAAAGAGAGAGCGAAGAAGAAGAAGAAGAAGAAGAAGAAGAAGAAGAAGAAATAAGTATGGAGGATTGGATCAAGTGATCAAGCCTCTTGGAATGTCTTTCTCAAAATCCCTAAAGACCTTTGTCTTCTTACGTCCTCTCTCTCCAGCCAGGTATAAGAATGAAGGAAAAAAAAAGAAAGAAGAAAAAGGGGAAAAAAAACATCGATAACCCACAAAGCATAGAAAAAAAAGAAAGAGAGAGAGAAAAAAATATAAGTATAGGGGATTAGATCAAATGGTCAGGCGTCTTGGAACCTCTTTCTCAAAATCCTTAAAGACCTTGGGAGAATTTCGTCCTCTCTCTCTCGCCACCCGGGTATAAGAGCCAGGGTCGGGCGCCGGGAAGGCAGACGATCTCGAACACCCACTGGCGCAGCATCTTCATCGGTTCCTTCCCATTTTTTTCACATCCAGAAATATCTCTCTCATCCCATCTCCTGTGACAGCATCATCATGGTTGCGGCAAAGGTCCTGCTTTTGGGTATGTTAACTCGGATGTGCAGACACAAACGCATGCACTCACTTAGTCACACATTATACACACACTCGCACACACACACACACACACACATATATATATATATATATATATATATATATATATATATATATATATATATATATATATATACATACATATATATATATATATATATATATATATATATATATATATATATATATATATATATATATATATGTATATATATATATATATATATATATATTTATATATATATATATATATATATATATATATATATATATATATATATATATATATATATATATATATATATGCATGTATGTATATATATATATATATATATATATATATATATATATATATATATATATATATATATATATATATATATATATATATATATATATATATATATATATATATATATATATATATATATACGTATATATATATATATATATATATATATATATATATATATATATATATATATATATATATATATATATACATATATATACATACATACATACATACATACAATATATATATGTATATATACATACAATATATATAGGCATATGTATACATACATATGTATATATATATATGTATATATATATATATATATATATATATATATATATATATATATATATATACAGAGGGATATTTATACATATAGATACATATATGTGTATATATACATACAATATACCCACCCATACACAGGCACACACGCACACACACACTCTTATATATGTATGTGCCAGTAGGCAGACGGTGTATAAATATTCGGTGAAGAAATGCTTTACCCTTTAAAAAGAAGGAAAACAAACAAAAATTGACTCTTTGGTTAGCTAATGTCATCATTCAGACTTCAGCTGAAACGCCACACCCCTAACTAGAAGGGGCATGCAGGCGCGCCCCGCCCTTCCGCTCTCATGACGGTCGCTTTCTCTTGCAGTGGGCGTGGTCTCGATGGGCGTGGCCTCCGCCTTGCCCCGCCTCGTGAAGCGAGACTCCACCCCCTTCGCCTACGAGCTCCCGTCCAACGCCTCGCGAATCGTCGGGAACATCAACACGGGCTTCGAGTGAGGACCTCCCGCCGGATTTTTCTTTCGGTGGTGGAAAGAATGAAGAATGTGAAGTGTGTGGAGAGGGGGAGGGAGAGGGAGACGGAAGGAGGGAGGGAGAGGGAGAGGGAAGGAGGGAGGAAGAGGGAGAGGGAGAGGGAAGGAGGGAGGGAGAGGAAGAGG